AAAGAGGTTCTGTACAGGAAGAACGGCTGTCTACTGGGATTGGGTGTTTGTTGGTTGAGCGCCCTCCAATCTGGCTCTGTGCTCTGAACCGGGCCCAGATCGGCGCACAGTTGTGTGCGAACCCTATTCCGCGAGTGCACTGCGTTTCGCAACGTGGTACAGAACGTCGCTGAAGTTCAGGGGGAGCGTGTGAACGCTGCAGATATAAACCATGAAAGACCGTGCCCAATGAAGAGAGGACACGAAGGGATGTGTGCGCTATGGCAACTTCTTTGGTTTGGTGATCACTCTGTACGCAGCCTCGAGCCCCGATATTGCCACCCATCTCAGCCTTACCAATCAGCCAGGCTTGGTAGATGCTTTTCTCCCTTGGAGGACACCTTGATTCCTCCGAGTCTGAATTATCCATTTCCGCGTTGGTTGTAGTGAGAAGAAAAGCGGATTACAGCATTTCCGCATTTGCTGTCCCTCGATCTTATCGCGCAGCCTCGCAGTCGATCCCGCGGGCTCTGTCAGGCTGATCGAACACATCTGCTGTCAGGTTTCGTGCCGCTTCTGTTTCCCAGATAGCAGGCGAAAAGGCGAATATAGTATCATTTGATTGACTGTCACTCTCGAGGTGCACTAATACGGGTGATTGTCCGGCAATGGCGCTTTTTTCTGGATGGGTGTTCGTCGTGAGGCCGGACCCTGACGACGCGGCGCCGGCTTTGTTGCCACGTTACTTAGTTCTCGCGAAATGTAGTCTTCTCATGTACCGTCGCGACCCGACGCTGGTGAAGAACGAGGTCCGTGAAGCACGATCTAGCAAAGATTCTTTCTAATGATATTGCGCATAAATAAGGATGACCACCCAGATAAGACAGCGTCGTTTTTAATAAGTTGACATGAGCATTTGCGCGTGGAGTAATTATCCAAACTGACAAGAGGTAACTAGATGCGCCGGGAGGTGCGATTCCATTGTAGCTTTCTCACTAAAAAGTCGTGCTTCTCTCCCATCTTCTTTTCTAGTGCTTGCTGCTTGTTCAGGCAACATTTTTGCTTTTATGAGCTTCATTCCTATCCAGCAATGCCATTTCTCCGAGGTGCTTCAAGCAACGAGCAAGGTGTTTCCGTTGCTCGTGGCTTGAGATATCTCCAATCAGCCATTCTGTTCCTTTGACGCTTCTCAAACCAAGTGACCCTTATGTCGACTCAGAGTCAGCTCGCTTTTCCGCTTCTTCTATTAATAAAACACGGCCTGACGAGGCGAATGTCGAGGCGCCTTAACATCGCCTCAAAAAGCGCCTCCGATAGCATGTTAAGCGCCGTTTAATTTTCGACGGTGTTCTCGCCTCACGTCGAACATGAATGTCGTTCGATGGCGTCTATTGTTGTCGCCACGCATTTAGCGCGAATGTCGTTGGCCCTCGGCATCCCGGATAGCCTCGCCCCGAGCTCCTTTTACTCAGATCGCGGAGATATATCGCACCCAATTCCAGGGTGTTTTCAAGTATACCCGTCAGCGATATTGAATCGTCGAGATTAAGCTGAAGAGCTCACGAGTCTTGTCAGTCAGCAGCTAGTTAGCTCACGAGGCGTTGTACAGGTCATATTAACAAACAGTTATTTCTTACGATCTGATCCTGACCTTCATTGTGGTGGTCTCCTTGCATCCACCTGCCATTTCCTCCGCATTAGCATTTTTCCATTGCTTGCATCAATGATCAATCCCTATGTCCATCATTACATCATCCATCCCTGCACCATCCATCCTTGAATCATCAATCCATCCTTGCATCACCCATCCCTGCATTATTTCTCCGCATTCCCACGCCCCCCCTGCTTTAATCCCTCGGCTGAGCAGGAACCCGTGTCCAGCGGCATGCTGAACCCACAACTCGCAGCCTTGAGAAGAATTCTCAAATTCCTCCACCCATATCTCCGCGCTCACTCAAATCCTTGCACATTTCCACACCCCCTTCGCATGAATCCCTAGGCCAAACAGGAGCCCGTGTCCAACGGCGTGCTGACCCCGCAATTCGCAGTAGGCAGTTGTTGACAGTCACTTTCGAGAATTCCCTAAGGCGGTTGTTGAGAACTTTCAAACCCCTCTACTCATCCCCCCCCGCTGCTCCGCATCCCCACGCCTTCCTGCATTGATCCCTGCGTGCGAACAGGAGCCCGTGTCCAGCGGCGTGCTGACCCCGCAACTTGCAGTAGAGGACTGCGGTCGCGAGGTGTACGCCGATGGACGGGTGAGATGACACCTCGGTATTCCAGGTGTATTTTTATGGACGGGTGAGGTGGAACCGTGGTATTCCAGGCGTATTGTGATGGACAAGTGAGGCGACATCTTGAGTATTAAAGGTGTACGCCGATGGACGGGTGAGATGACATCTTGAGTATCCGAGGTGTACGCTGATCGGCGGATGAGACGAGATGTGGACGGTTGAGATTTGATCGGGATTGTTCACGAACTGAAGCACATGGACTGGGGTAGGTTGCTGTGCTGTTCGTCTGTACATCCTATCCTGCTATATGATGAACAGATATTTAACTACCCACCTTCCCAACTCCCTCGTTCTCTCCCTTGCTATCCAACCTGTGCGCCTCTGGCCTGTCTATCCCCGTTATAGGCTCTCCACGCCTTCCGGGTGTACAACAAGGCCATGCCAGACCAAGGCGGAAAGGTGAGAAAGGTTTGGCTTGGAAGAGAGGGACAGAAAGGCTTGGCAACGAGAGAAGGATGCTGGGATGGGAGGATGGGAGGATGGGAGGATGAGAGGATGGGAGAATGGGAGGATGGGAGAATGGGAGAATGGGAGACTGGAAGTATGAGAAGAAGGGAAGATGGGAGGATGAGAAAGGTGTGGAGACTACTGAAGGGATGTACTGTGCCTGGGTGTATGATGGGTTTGTGAGTCGTGATGGTTTATGAGATGGGGTGTGTGTGATTGGGTGTGTGGTGTGGTGTGTTGTGATATGAAAGTATGTGTGACAGTTCTCATGCTGTGTGTGCTTACATTCGCATGACATGCACCACCATGTGTAACAATGGCGGGCTGTACTGACGTGGCATACCACCAGTGCACAAGCAGCAAAAGACGGCTTCTTTGTGACTGTTTGCATGTGGCTGCACAGAATGTGACTCTTCGCATGTGACTGTACTGTATGTGACTGTACCACATGTGACAATACTGCATTTGACTACCATACCCCTGCACTGCGCTCACCAGGTGGCAACCACCAGTGCAGGAGCAGCTCAGAAGTGGATCTCAGCCATTGAAGGGTCCATCAAGGAATCTGTAAGCATGCACTACTCAGTCCCCACACGCCACCCTCCTCCTTGCCGAGGAATCTGTTGGAGCTGGAAACCACCAGCGCAGGAGCAGAGCAGCTCAGAGGTGGATCTCCGCCATTCAAGAGTCCATCAAGGAATCTGTAAGCGCTACACCGTCCTCCTTTCCCGAGCGGACTCCACTCCACTCCACTCCACTCCACTCCACTCCACTCCACTCCACTCCACTCCACTCCACTCCACTCCACTCCACTCCACTCCACTCCACTCCACTCCACTCCACTCCAGTCCACACCACTCCACTCCTCTCTTTCGCGCACTCTGAGTCAACTTAAACCACACCAGGTTCAGCCCAGAATTGGATCTCAGCCGTCGAAGCCTGTCAAGGAATCTGTCCCCCCACATGGCCCTCATTCCCTCGGCCCGTTCCCGTTGTCCCTTCCCCACGTCATTCCTCCCCCATGTCATTCCCCATCTTCCTTTCCAGTCTATCCCACCACTTGTCACTCCCCTCCCTCCCCCTGTCCCCCTCATTTGATCTCTACCCGTGTTTCAGGAGACTGGGCAAGCCAGAGAAAGCAACTGTGGGGGTATATATGCCTATCTATAAACACCTCATGCCATTTCATTTCCCCGCTGTCACTCTCTTCCCTCCCCCTGAGCCCCTCATTTGATCTCTACCCGTATTTCAAAAAACCGGGGGCAAGCCAGAAAGAGCATCTGTGGGGTAGATATGCCTATCTATAAACACCTCATGCCATTTCATCTCCCCGCTGCCGCTTTCTCCCCTCCCCCTGTGCCCCTCGTTTGATCCCTACCTATGTTTCAGGAGACTGGGGGCAAGCCAGAGAAAGCATCTGTGGGGTACGTACTTGTGCACGTAGAAACACCCACATGTGCAATGAACAACCAACCTGGGTTGACTTGACTTTTGAGTTGACTCAATACTCAAAAGTCGACCTAGAGAAAGCATCGGTTGGGTACATATGTATGCACATAGAAGCACCCTCATGCGTTAAAGAACCAACCTGATGAGCTAAGCGCTGAAAAACACCCTCTGATGACTTGCTTTGGGTGGTTGCGAGTAGGGAGACCTTTGGAAGCCCTAATTCCTTCCTGGCTCTTCCAAACCCTTCACTACTCGTGCCGCTCCCCATCCACGTCCTCTACTTACATCCCTCTCATTCCCCCGGGCCCCGTCTCTCTCTTTCCCTCTCCATGTTCCCTCACAACCCCTCTCTCGATTCCTCATGCCTTCTCATCATGTCGGCACACTCTCACTCGCCTCAGTCCCTCTAACCTTCGTCTTTGGCGGCACACTTTCCGCTTTTGAGAACTCTCGGAGTCACTCCCCTTTGATCCTCCCACCTTCTAGTGTTTCTGGCTGAGAGCGCATTCTCACTCGCCTCACTCCCTCTGACCTTCGTCTTTGGCGGCACATGTTCCGCTTTTGAGAACTCTCAGAGTCACTCCCCTTTGATCCTCCCTCCCACCTTCTAGTGTTTCTGGCTGAGAGCGCATTCTCACTCGCCTCACTCCCTCTAACCTTCGTCTTTGGCGGCACACTTTCCGCTTTTGAGAACTCTCAGAGTCACTCCGCTTTGATCCTCCCACCTTCTAATGTTTCTGGCTGAGAGCGCACTCTCACTCACCTCACTCCCTCTAACCTCCCGCTTTAAGAACTCTCGGAGTCACTCCGCTTTGATCCTCCCACCTTCTA